TTAAACAAAAAATGGTCCATTAGCAATAAGACGTACAATAAGATATCACGACATAGAACATTTAATTAAGAACACTTACTTCACGTACGGTTCAACAACCGCTGAGTTAAATAACACATATCGGTGAGCTATTTCTAACATCTCATTACTGAACATGTATGGATTGCCAACCGAAAGTGGACGCCCTTCAAGAATTATGTCATTAGAAAATTCTTCATTTCGACATCCACGGTGATAAATATCAACTTTTTGCTTTATGAAATCGTTGCAAAATGCCATGCACTCATCTGCAAGATAACACTCTACAATACAACCTTCCGGTCGAGCACGATTCCGAACGTATCCCTTAAGAGTCATCATGTACCTACGTCAGTACATATCAATAAGCAATCTTAGTGTAGTAACGAAATTGTAATAAACTCAATATAACAAGTTCACATACATTATATCAATCTACCAAGTGGTGGAATTACCTTTCAAAAGGATACATCCAACGAAATTGAACAGGTCCACAGAGTCTAGCTTCCCTTCCCAAATGAATCACTAAATGTACCATTATATCAAAGAATGATGGTGGGAAAAATCTCTCCAACAAGCATAACGTTTCTACAACTTCTTCTTCAAGTTCTATCATCTTTTCTCCATCGATGACACGCTGGCATAGCCTATTAAAGAAAAGACACAAACTAAGTAGCGCATTTCTGGGAGCTTTTGGCAACAACCCTCTCAAGGCTACTGGTAGTAACTGTTGCATGAGTACATGGCAATCATGAGACTTCAAGCCCATGATTTTGCAGTCGTCCACTGAAACACACTTTCCAATGTTAGAACTAAACCCATCGGGGACCTTTAAATTATATAATCTTCTGCAGAAGGTGAGCTTTTCTGCTTTCGACAGTGTATGTGGAGCTGGTGGCAGATATGTTCTTTTCCCTCGCTCTTGGGGGTGCAAGTCAGGCCTAATTCCCATGTGTTGTAAATCCTTTCGTGAATTAAGACCATCTTTAGATTTTTTTATTTACATGCAACAACGTATTTAAAATGCTTTCGCACACATTTTTCTCTATGTGCATCACATCCAAGTTGTGTCGCAAAGCCAAATCCTGTAAAAGGTAACTTCAATCAAATCACACATTATTACATCCATCAATAATTAGCTTCAAAAGTCAGAAGGAGGCTATTAGGTAAGTAGTAATTACCTGCCAATAAGGTAGGTAAAAAAAAAGTGATCTTTTCTTCCATAGTTGTTGCTTCTCCATATCCACATCCTTCACCTCGACTCTCTTGCGTTTAGGATGGACTTTCTTAACAACTTTTTTACCTCCTCTCCCATGCCCTTTCATAACTTCATTCTCAAAAATATCCATATTAACTTTCCCCCAATCATTCACAAAGTCCTTAAGTTGTTCATACATTCTTCTACCGGTCATTATTCTTGGTTTACTTTCTTTTTCTACATTTCCATCGAACCAACACTTTTTCGTTCGGAAGGGATGACTTGGTGATAGAAATCTCCTATGACCCATGAATACAAACTTCCTACTAAAGGGCAACCACATTGCTCGAGTATTGTCAACACATAAAGGACACGCTAATCTACCTTTTGTATAGCAACCACTAAGATTTCCATAGGCTGGAAAATCATTTATTGTCCACATTAAAATTGCCCTTAAATTGAAAACCTCCTTGTCAAATGAATCAAAAACACTGACTCCATTGTTCCACAACTCTTGTAAATCTTCTATGAGAGGTTGTAGGTAAATGTCAATATCATTGCCAGGTTGTTTAGACCCTGGGATTAATAATGTTAGCATGATGTTTTCTTTTTTCATGCACAAAAATGGTGGCAAGTTGTATATCACAAGCATCACTGGCCAACAACTATAAGTTGAGCTTAAATTACCAAACGGATTGAATCCATCTGTGGACAATCCAAGTCTAAGATTGCGTGCTTCATTTGCAAACGTAGGCCACTTTTCATTCACTAGTTGCCATGCTGGAGAGTCAACCGGGTGATGCATCTTTCCATCACCCCTTTTATTATTGGAATGCCACCTTAGATGATGAGCCATCTTTTCACTCTTGAACATCGCCTTGAACCTAGGAATTATCGGAAGATATCTCAAGACTTTAGCAGGAACACCAACTTTAGCTTTTTTGGTATGTTTGTCAACCTTCCACCTTGAAGCATGACACCTTGGACATTTATCAAGATCTGCCTTATCCTTTCTAAACAAACAACAATCGTTAGGGCAAGCATGAATCTTTTCATACCCTAGATGAAATTCTCTCATAAACTTTCGTACTTTATACGTCGACCTTATCAACACATTAGGTTCAGGTAACATGTCATGCAATAACTCTAGCAATCCGTCAAAACTACAATCAGACCATCCATTCATGGTCTTATGTTTGAATAAGGCAACAACGGCAGACAACTTGTTGTATTTTGAACAACCGGGATATAATGGTTCTAACCAATCATTCATTTTTTCATTTAACTCCTCTAACCTATGTTCTTGCGATTGTTCTATATAATCATTCTCATCGCCATAGGCAGCCTTGTATAACTCATATATGTCATTCTTGTCAACGTTTTCCAACTCTTCATTTGTGTTTACTTCTTCCCCATGATGAAACCAAGTAGTGTATGTTGGATCCATACCATTGATTACCAAGTGTTCATAAACAATGTTACCACGTTGATGACTTAAGTTTCGACATTCTTTGCAAGGGCACAACAGCTTCTCCGGATAACCAAAATTCTTTTCAACTGTTTTTACAAATTTCTGAGCGCTTTGCATATACTCCGCAGTAAGTCTATAAATAAAAAGGTCAACACTAAGATTTCTATGACTACAATGACTAACACAAACAACAAAACTAAATTCTAATCTTGCTCACCTGTTATCACGCACCCAATCTTTATCAAGCATCCTAACATCATCAATCGACTTCATAATTAAATGCTAAATAAATTATCACATTTCAGACTAAGAAATAAAATTTAGTCTAACATCATTATAATAACAGAGCAAACAAAAAAAGATAAATACCTCTTAAAAATGCATAAGTCAAGATTTCTATTCATTATTCTTGATTAATAATCTTTTTAATCAAATAACTATATTAGTAAAAGAGTATTAATAATGAATGAGAAATAAAAATCTAGAACTATACACTCAATGGTAAATTCTATAATTTTCTCAATTAAAAAAATTATATATAAAAAAAGGAGAAAATCTAGCTCTAGGGAAACACAAAATAACTAGGGTCAAGATGCTTAATTAACTAGTTGAAACTTCTGAGATAGATCAATATATTCTTCCACTCAAAATAATCAAAAGATGCTTATTATTAGAATCCGCACATGCAAAATCCAATGGAGAAAATCCAAACAAGGGGAAAAAGCGTATGATCTCTTAGAATCAACAACCAAACATGTTTGAAATGACAATTTCAAGACTTAAATCCCTTCTTACTTCAAGAATAAAGAGCATATGCATTCTTCTTTTTAGAATTATAACGTTCCATCATTAACGAATCAGGAAGCGCCTTAGATAAAACAACATCAATAAAAGCCCATACATAAATGAATTGAAAACGAAATTAAATTAACAATCAACAAAATATTCAAAACATAGTTCAAATAAAACTACATCAAGTCCTAGATTTAATGTCCAGCTCAACATGGAAAAATAGATGAAAGAAGATAAAACCCAATATCCATTGAAGAGCTTCCAAGGACCTCCAAGATGAAGGATTTCGGCCTCCTTTTGATGTTTTCTTCAGATTTTCGGGCTCCCTTTCTCAAATGGCATCTCTTTCCTTTTATACTACTCAGTTTTGGAGCTAGGGCTTCATACGCGCGCTGCAGCCTGCATGAAAATGCGCTGCGGTGCGCGTTTTTGGAAGAGGATCCTGCTGTTGCAAGCTGGGGCGCATTGCAGCACGCGGGGCTGCCATCTGGGCGCGCTACAACGCGTGTTCCTGCTCTGGGGGTGCACCCGGGTGTGGGCGCGCTAGCGGCCGCGCGCCTGGATGTAGGGCACGTGCGAGCGCGCAGCGGGCTCGGGCGCGGGCGCGCGTCCCATTCTGACTTCGCTTTCCTTTGCGCACTGTAGCCCACTTTCTTGCATTCCAAAGCCTCCTCTTTTGTGCCTTAAAGTCTTCTTTCGCCTCCTCTTGGCATTGATTCACAAGTTGGGCAAATATTCTTCTTTTCTTCATGTAAAATCATCCAAGTTCGCATTTATTTATAATTCCTATAAAAAGCATACAAAAAGGCATTAAACTAACAAAAATGCTTAAAGACTTACAAATATTCATGCTTGAAAGTACTTGATTTGTTGGTAGAAATACCTGTCATTAGGTATGAGGCGCTAAAAGAGGAGGTCAACAAGTTGATCAACAATGGGTTCATCAGGGAGACCCATTACCCGCATTGGGTCTCGAACCCTGTTTTGGTTGTCAAGCCTAATGGAAGCTGGAGAACATGCGTCGACTTTAGCGATCTCAACAAAGCCTACCCGAAGGATGACTTTCCACTCCCTCGAGTAGACCAGATGGTCGACGCCACAGCAGGACATGAAATGCTGAGTTTTATGGATGCTTACTCCGGGTACAACCAGATCCCCATGCATCCAGCCGACGAGGAGCACACATCCTTCATAACCGACAGGGGCCTCTACTGCTACAAGGTAATGCCTTTTGGCATAAAGAATGTAGGGGCTACCTACCAAAGGCTCGTGAATAAGATGTTCGCTCGACAGCTTGGCAAATCAATGGAGGTCTACGTCGATGATATGCTTGTGAAAAGTGCCAGGGCCAACCAACACATCGACCATCTGGGTGAAATGTTTGGTGTATTAAGAAAATACCACATGAAACTAAATCCCTAAAAATGCGCCTTTGGAGTTGGGTCAAGGAAATTCCTTGGTTTCATGGTCAGCAACCGGGGGTTAGAAGCTAACCCTGAAAAGATTAAAGCCCTGTAGGATATGCGGTCTCCAACTAAACCAAAAGAGGTGCAAAGGTTGACAGGATGCGTCGCCGCCCTAAACAGATTTATATCAAAAGCGATAGACAAGTGCGTCCCCTTCTTCGATGCTTTGAAAGGGAGTAGGCGTTTTGAGTGGACACCGCAATGTGAAGAGGCCTTCCAGAAATTGAAGGAGCATTTGGGCAAGCCCTCAATCCTGTCAAAGCCCAACCCCGATGAGGAGCTTAGCCTATACCTCTCCGTGTCCCAACACGCCGTAAGCTCCGTGCTAATAAGAGAAGAAGAAAGGGTACAGTTGCCAATTTACTATGTGAGCAAAAGACTCCTCAACGCTGAGTCAAGATATATCGAAATGGAACGCTTGGCCCTTGCCCTGATGGTAGCTTCAAGGAAGCTTCGGTAATATTTCCAATCTCACAAAATACGGGTTCTCACAAACCACCCGTTGAGACAGGTGCTACAAAAACTTGAAACCTCTGGTCGACTTCTCAAATGGTCGGTAGAGTTAAGCCAGTTCGACATTAAGTATGTACCAAGAACAGCGATCTAGGGCCAAGCGCTAGCCAATTTTCTAGCCGAGTTCTCCCATAGACTGGCTCCCGCCACGCCAGAAGATGTCGAGAATACATAATGGAAGCTCTACGTGGATGGAGCGTTGAACGATAACGGGTCAGGAGCCGGCGTCTTGTTGATCAGCCCAGAAGGCCACAAGATTACCTCGGTGGTTCGATTCAAATTGAAGGCATCGAATAATGAGGCGGAATACGAGGCGCTAATTGCGGGGTTGCGATTGGCCTGTCACTTAAAGATCGAGAGGCTCAGCATCTTCAGCGACTCTCAATTGGTCATCGGACAAGTGAAAGAAGAATACCAAGTGCACGGTGAGAAAATGGGTGCGTACTTAAGAAAGGTGAAGGAATAACTCGTCAAGTTTAAAAACTATGAGATACTTTAGATAACACGAGCCGAAAACACAAACGCCGATGCTCTAGCAAAGCTAGCATCTTCAAAAGATTTCGACGCACTAGGGGTCGTTCCTATTGAAGAATTGGAACGGCCGACCATTGAGGAAATAAATAAGGCACTAATAATCCAAACAGGTGAAAATTGGATGACGCCACTCATCCAATACCTAATGGATGCACAATTGCCAAACAATAAAGATGAAGCCAGACGGATCAGGTATAGAGCTGCCAGATACTTATTGTACGACGGTTTGCTTTACCGACGAGGCTATTCAACACCTCTACAGCGGTGCCTGGATGATGACGAAGGCCAGATGGTCCTCTAAAAAATCCATGAAGGAGTCTGCGAAAATCATACTGGGGGGCAGTCTTTAGCTCTTAAGGTTTTGAGGCAAGGATACTACTGGCCCACGCTAAAAAAGGATGCTTTCCAATACGCTCGACGTTGTGATAAGTGCCAAAGATGGGGGGTTGACCTAATTGGGCCATTACACCTTGCACTTGGAGGCTTTAAATTTGCCATCGTCGTAGTAGACTACTATACAAAGTGGGCAAAGGCAAAGGCTCTGACTACAACCATGGAAGCAGCCTGCACCAACTTCATGTGGAGTAACATTGTGTGCAGGTTCGGGGTTCCCCACTCAATAGTATCCGACAACTGGAAACAGTTCGACAATGCCTCAACACGCAGATTCTACGACAGCCTGGGCATTCAAAAAGACTTCTCGGTGCTGATCCATCCACAATCTAATGGGCAAGTTGAGGCAGTCAATAAAATATTGAAGTATACCCTAAAAAAGAAACTCAACGATCTAAAAGGGAAATGGGCCGAGGAACTCCCCAAGGTCTTATGGGCATACAGAATGACAAGCCGAACTACTATGGGTGAAACACCCTTCTCCATGGCGTATGGCGTCGAGGCCGTACTCCCTGTAAAAATTGAAATGCCAACCTCTAAGAACTGTCATCCACAACGACGATGATAACACAGAAGGCATGAATGGAGAACTCGACTTGTTGGAAGAAAAGAGGCTCGACTCCCAATTACGTCTCGCTGCCTATCAGCAAAGAGCAACATGATATTACAACAAGAAAGTTTGACAAAGAAGGTTCGTCCCAGGAAACCTAGTATTGAAAAGGGTAATGCAGAGCACAAAACCCAAAAATACCAGTCCCCTAGGCCCAACTTGGGAAGGACCTTACTGCATAAGGGAAGTGTTGCATCCTGGTACCTACATTTTGGAAAGCCTCGACGGCAAGAGAATTCAACACCCATGGAATGCAGAATAGCTAAGGCTGTACTACCAAGAGTGTATGTAATTCCTACACATCCCAATTGTACATTCTTTACAGTTTAAATAAATTGATATGTTTTCAGAAGGAAAGGAATTCACCCCTTAATAACATGTCTGCTTAAAAAACTAAGGTATATTAAACAGACATGGGGGGCAGAGGTCCACGGATCGCTAAAAAATGACACGACGACCCCAAGGGGTGAAATCAGTGTCGACTCCTCCAAGGAGGAGAGGTGAACACTTAGCAAGATTCTAAGGAATTTTCTAAGACAAAAACCCCAAGGGGTGAAATCAGCGTCGACTCCTCCAAGGAGAAGAGGCGAACACTTAGCAAGATTCTAAGGAATTTTTTAAGACAAAAACCCCAAGGGGTGAAATCAACGTCGACTCCTCCAAGGAGGAGAGGTGAACACTTAGCAAAATTCTAAGGAATTTTCTAAAAACAAACGACCCCAAGGGGTAAAGTCAACAACGACTCCTTCAAGAAGGAGAGGCGAATGCATAGTAACAATGAGCAAGGTATGAAATCTACTATCTTTTTAGAAAACACAAATGAAATAAAAAAGAGGTCGAATCCAATGTCATATAAGTTACAAGCAGCAATAAGTAAAAAAAAAAAAAAAAAAAAAAAGGAAGAAGAAAAAATAAAATCTCCAGGCCTCGCCGCCAGCCGCCGAGTCATCACCATCACCAGGCGGGGAAGAGTTGTCATCACTAGCAGGAGGAGGAGCATTATAAAGGAAGCTTAAATCCCACTCAGGATGCTCTTATTTTATCAAATCGATGATTTGTTGACCAGCAGAATGAAAATCCTTGGTACGAATGTCGATGAGCTCCGGAGAAGCCTTGAACTCCTCAATAATCTCTGCATGCTTGGCATCAAATGTTGCTACAACCTCAGCTTCAGCTTCCTTCTTCCCCTCAGCTTTCTTATCAGCAAAACATCTCTTCACCGCTTCAATTGCTTCGGCCAACTTCGCCTCATATATGTCTGCCTGCTTTGTAAGGTCTGCAACTGCAGCAGTTAGCCTAGCTAGTTCACCTTCCAAACTTTTCAGTTGGGCCACGGCCACATCTCTCTCCTAGATGGCATTCGTGCACTGAGTCTTAGCATCGTCGAGAAGAGAGTTAAGCTTGGCCTCTACACTGTCCATCTCCATATCACGCTCCTCAACCTTAACTAGGTCGAGAAGGTTGAGAATGGTGAGGATTAGGCCCTAAAAAATTGGAGGTCAGAAAATAAAAATACAAACATTGAAATCAATAAAAATAAAAGGCAGCTCGATCGAGTTTTACGTGAATTTGGAAAGAGATATGCTTCCGCTGACGATCAACCAAAGAAGATTAAGTGGCAGCAATCCAGTGCGGCTCAAGAAAATACTCATATAGAGCCTGGAAGACAAGGGAGAAGCGAGGGGGAAGTTTCAGCATCGCCCCAATCTCGGCGTCGGAGATATCCGGGACTTAGAAATTGGAATCCATGATTTTTGCCCCCAGGATAAGCACGCGTTCCCTCGGCGCCGGAGGAACATTAACATCGGGAATGGGGACCGTCGGTGTCCAAGTTTTTGCCACTGGCGTCTTCTCTTTATGCTTCTTTTTCAGCGCAGGATCCACCTTCAACACCGAAGGGCCCTTTGTGGTCTTCTTTTTTCTCAGCGCTTGAGAAGAAGAACTAGCTTTCTCCTTTCCCTTAGACGGGGGTTGTTGGCTCGGCAGGGGCTGCTAACTTGGCCCAGACTGCTGACTGCCAGGAAGTTGGATCCTCAAAGATGCCATATCTACGGAAATGATGAGATAAAAATATAGTCGACGTTTGGATAGACAAATGCCAGTATAAGAAAGGTGTCAGGATCAGGGGTTTACCTTCGTCGCTTAAATGCAAAATATTCACGGACAACGTCAAGGTTAGTAGGGTCTGGGAGATCAAGAATTAACCTAGCGCCTCGAAGATTGGCCTTGGTCCGGAAGGTGTCGATGTGGCGAACCTCAGACGGGAACGAGAAGGCATTTTCAATCCTCGCCAAACTATTTCCAATGAACTTCGGCTGGTCTTGACCGACTGGAGGATAAAAAGACTATCAACGTATAAAAAAGAAGGAAGAAGAAAAGTAAGGTAAAAGAAAGATAATCAAAATCTCACCCATGTTCCCAAACGACGCCTGCACCTTCCTTCGGCGGGGCAAACGGTCATCGAGATGAAAATTAAAAGCCCCGCGTATCATAAAAAACATGGGTTTCAACCCATGTGACAACAAGGGAATACCCAGTATTAGCTTGCCAAATCAGGGCTATGATCTCCCATGTCCACTCAAAAAGTACTACCCCTCAAACTTGGTGACATGACATAGTCTGTACATAAATCTAAACTCATCCAGAGAAAGATCCATGTCAAACTACTGGCTCCACAAAATCCAGGAGCCGGCGAAGCAGTACCAGAAATTTGGCACTAATTGGGCAAGGGAAATGCCATAGAAGTGGCAGTAATCCTTTACAAAGGGATAAACCGGAAGGGTTATCCCCGCTGTGATGGCTCTGGTGTAGACAAGGAGGTATCCGGTCGGAGGCATTCTAGTCCTAAAATGCATGTCCGGGAGGAGGTATTCGAGCCACCTCCCATCAATGCATCCTTCCTTCATCGCTCGGATAATGTCCTTATTCCGGACCCTCGACGCCACAACATCGGCTGTAAAGAAGGGCCTGTCTGGGTTACCGCTCGTAGTAGCCAGGGGGGCATCCACCAGCGAGGCAGCCACCCCGCTTACATTGCCCCCCCGTGAAGGGAATTCGGTCAACCACTTCATCTAACATTTGTTCTACACTACCAAACTCACAACCAAAATCGTCGCCTAGTCCATACATGGCCTCGGCGTCTTCTACTTCCCTCAGCAAGGAGTCAACGCTTGAAGAGGAAGAAGACCATGAAATCTCCACCACAGAAGGGGAGTCTGGATGGACGACAGAGGGATCCTCTCGACGGGGGGAGTTTTGGGCCATTATTCTGGTGATTAAAAAGACAAGGAACTGAGTTAAAACTCTAAAGTCGAGAGGAAGAAGAAAAAGACGACCATTCTAAACGACGACTGCTCAAACGCCTCGACATAACGTTGACCATTCATGTAAGAATGATAATGGCGAGTATTCATGGTGGCCCAAGTTCACCAGAACTCAGGAACCAGAAGCGTACAGACAACCACAAAGTCAGGAAAAGAATTATCCTATGCGGACAACCACAAAGTCACGAAGTAAGTCTCTCTAACCTCTACATTTTGCATATTTACACATGCATATGAGTTAATAGGGAAAACCCGTAAAGAAGCGATACAAGCAAAGGGTGGTAAGGCTTACCAGTAGGAAGGATTCCGGGCAAAGTCTAGAACTAAGACAGCTTCGCGACACGCCAAGCAGCACAAAGAATGCGAGTCGGGGTTTACGGGGAAGAATTCCGGCAGAGCAAACGGCAGTTCAACAAAAACGAAATATGTTTGTGCTTGAGAAAAATGGTCTCGGTTCAGAAAGGTATTTAAGGGGAAGAAAATCCTTGACCCCTGACCGTCGGATGAAATTCATAGAATCCAATGGCAAGGGAATCCCACCTAGATCTGACGATGACAGACGAAGGCGGGAAAACGACAAGGCGCGATCCAAAGGCTCACATTCGTCCTTTCGAAATAAGGCCTCACGTCAGCATAGAGAAGTGACCGACGTGACGGTTGTGTTCCTCAAGAAAATCTGAAGCATCCAGACCATCATTAAGGACGAAGGCTCGGGACCGGTTTCCCACACCCGAAGCATGGAAGAATGACTGAACCTAAGCTTGAGGCTGTCTAAAAGAAACCCTCGACCTGGGGGGTAGCTATTGTGGGGGAAAATATGGAGGACACGTGGAAGAATGACAATATGACATGTGGCCTTAACTTCTCCTCGCAAAGTAACAACCCTTGACGTCTGGGACTCCCTTCCATTCCGTTGTGAAGACCCCAAGTAAAAAGTCCAACTTAGGGCGTCGATTTCATCTGGCGTCGACAGATCGTATTGTCGACCTTACAACATAAAAATCCCTCGTCATAGAATCGACCGCCAAGAAGGACAATTGGGCTAAACAACATTGGCGACGAAGGGAATACTCCTTGGGGGACAGCCTTACGTGGCAAGTTGCGTACAGTAATGGGGAATGTCTGCAACGCAGACATTAATTGCAAACCCTTAAACTGCCCCACGGGGGACAGAAAAGGGTTACAGGTACGCACAGAGCCGTAATAGGAGACTAATTGGCTGAGTGAACAGTACCCCAAGTGATTAGTGGGCTACTCCTGGGCCTAAAAAGGAAGAGCACTTGAGTGCTTCTACCTACAAAGGAAACCCACCCAGTGAAGGAAGCTCCAATATAAAAGAGGCAAAGCCCTATACAGAAAAGAGATTCACGTCCAAAAGAGAGCAAAAAGAGCAAGAGAGCAATTGATGTAAATTGTAATCACCTCAAAAGGAATATACAACCACAGTGGATGTAGCTCTGATTTTATAGAGTGAACCACTATAAAATCTCTTGTGTTCCTTTACTTTAAAGTATTATTCTTCCAAATTGCTCCTCCCTCTTAGATCGTCGAACACCTTTGGCACAAAACTATTACATATAACCTATATTAAAGCCGGTAATCCGACAAGAAACCTATTGGTAACCCGGCCTG